GGGCCTCCTGGGAGCGTCTTGGGGCGAAAGGCTAGACTTTTGGGTTCCTGATCCCCCTCTTGGGGCCGTCTCGGGGCCCTATTGGGCCGTCTTGGGCGCCTCTTGGGCCGCCTGGGGGCCCTCTTGGGCCGTTTTGGGGGCCTCTTGGGAGCCTCTTGGGCTGTCTTGGGCGGTCTTTGGGGCCTCGTGGACCGTCTTCAACGCCGTGGAAGCCGAAAAGCCGCGCATGCTAAAAATATACGTTTCCCCAAAAAGGGAATCAATGATGTTGGCCTCCTGCTGGCCTCTTGGGACGCCTCTTGCAGGCCTCTTGGGCCTTCTTGGGAGGCTCCGGGGGCCTCCTGGGAGCGTCTTGGGGCGAAAGGCTAGACTTTTCGGTTCGTGGTCCCCCTCTTGGGGCCGTCTTGGGGCCCTCTTGGGCCGTCTTGGGCGCCTCTTGGACCGTCTGGGGGCCCTCTTGGGCCGTTTTGGAGGCCTCTTGGGAGCCTGTTGGGCCGTCTTGGGGCGGTTTTGGGAGCCTCGTGGACCGTCGTCAACGCCGTGGAAGCCGAAAAGCCGCATATGCGAAACGTGCACGTTTTCCCAAGGAAAATCAATGATTTTGGCCTCTTGGGGCCCTCTTGGGACGCCCCTTGGGCGCCTCTTGGGGGCCTCTTGGGGGCCACTTGAGCCGTCTTGGGCTCTCTGGGAGCGCTCTTGGGCCGCCTTGGGGGGGAACCCGAAACACATGCAAAAACCCGAGGGAAAGCCCGAAAACGGCCGTTACCAACATTGCATCCGGCCCTCGCCCCTCCCCTGGACCCCTCCCTTAAGGGCTTCGCCCCAACTCAACGTCATCACTCGTACCTCGCTCTTTCCATTATCCAGCTCGGGACCACCATATTAGATGATTTGTCTGGGCGGCCTGGACACGTTGAAAACACGTGGTTCCAGCTCGGGGCCACCATTTTTTTCCTTGGGGACAAGATTGGAGCGGACCGCAGGGTTCGGCTGTGGGGCGGTAGACGCGGGCTGAGGTAAGACGGCGCACAGCACGCTGCACAAACAAGGCTGGCGACACAATTATGCCACCGAGCTGCGCAGAAAAAACAACAAGAACGGCCAGAAGCAGAACAAATCCCCTGGGGGCGTCAAATAACACAGGCGCCAGGTGGCACAACGTTGTCCAAAAGGGCATGGCCAGACCAAACCCGCCACGGAAGCTCATACCGCAAGATGCTTCCGCGGGCGCGTCGCCACGGCGGAGGCGGCACACACACAGTACAGTACAGTACAAGCGCGCCTGGGTCCCACCGACACCATAGCCCGAGGCAGGTGCGCGGGCGAGGTGGGGGGGCAGGGCACGCCTAGAGAGAAGAGGGGACTTTCGCAGCGCCCCGTTCGAACGGAGCCGGCTGGGGGCAGGGAGGAGGGAGGCAAAACGAGGCGCCGGCCAGTGATGGGGAGGCAAGGAGCCCGCGGCGGGTGCCACATAGGGCCGCCCGCAGGGCCAAGATGGCTGGAAGGTCCAGCGTGGCCTCCTGGCTGCTCGTCAGGGTGGAGGGCCCACAGACGCCGGGCGGATGGCGCAGGACGTCGTGCCTCGCGCCTCGCCCCTGCATCGCGGGCGGCAGCAGCAGCTGGTGGGCCGCCGGGCAAAAAAGGAAGCGGTTCCCGGCCCATCTATAGTTAGGATGGCGTGCGCGCCACGTGTTGTGGCCGGCTGGGAACGGCTGCGACTCTTGCAAGCAATCCGAAGTCGAGAAGAGCCCGACTAAGACTTCAATCTACCCTGTGGCTTCCACGAGGTGCACCTGGCTACCCTCCTCCCTCCCTCCTAGCCGGAGGCACCTGATTGCAAGCTAGACCTTGCTCATGTCGGGCTGGCTGGAAGCAGCACTTACACGAAAGAGGACGTGGTGACCGCCACAATCAAGAAGGCCAGCACGTTCGCCGACAGCTGCGCAAAACCAGGAGCATTCGAATTGACCGTTGGCGGTAGGACGAAGGCCGTCGTGGTCCCCGTGGCCGTCTCGGTGGGGCCAGCGGTGACGAAGGTCGAAGTGAGGCTAGTTATGCTGTTGGTGTCCGTGGTGCCAGTAGCGGTGGTTGTCGACCGAGTGGTGCTGGTCAGAGTGCTTGTCGTCCACGTGTCAGAAAAGCTGGCGACTAGACCAACGGGCATGGTGTAGCCGTTGTTGTCCTTCGGCACCACCATGAGGCCATCCGCGCCCGCTGGGACTGGCACGCTTGCGAACGAGACCGAGTACTTGGAGGCATCACAACCACAGCTGGACTTCACGTTCTCCGACGCGCCGCTCGGCTTCGCGACGCTCGCCGCAGGCGTGCTGTCAACGATTACGTCATATGCGTCGACCCAGTACACCTCGTACCCCTGGACGTCCATCTGGTTGATCTCGCCATGGACCATGTTCGGGCCGAACGTAAGGGTGAACGTGACCTGATTCTCTGCCAGGTCTTCGTCCGAGCTGAGGATCATGTCGCAGACCTGGCAAACAACCTGCGGGAGCGCCTGGTGCAGGTCGTACCACTGCTCCCACGGCGCCGCGGTCTCCCACACCGCGGCGCGGTCCACGACGCTGTTGCCGGCTGGGCATGTCATCGACAGGCTGCCCTCGTACTCGATGCACGGGCTCGGCTCGACGTAGAACTTGTTGGACATGTCCAGCTCCTCCGAGTCGAAGGTCTGCGTGCAAGGTACCCCGGGCAGGATCTTTCCGGGGGCGTCGTTGGCATCGAAGGTGCAACCAGTGAAGAAACTCATCGCACATATCTCGCACTCTATCACTGTGGTGGTGGTCTCCGTGATAGTTGTGGTCGCTGTGGTCTCCGTGATAGTGGTAGTCGACGTGGCAGTGGTGGTCATGGTAGTAGTCGACGTGGCAGTGGTAGTCGTGGCAGTGGTAGACGTAACGGTGATGGAAGTTTCAGTGGTACTGGTATTGGTGATGGACGTAGAGCTACTGGTTCCGCTAGTGGTCGTCATCGTTCGATTGCTGATTGTGGTGAGTGTGCTTGATACTGTCGATGAAGATGTCCCCGTTGTTGTTATGGTCGATGTTGATGACGCGCTGGTGGTCGTCAACGTTGCACTCACACCAGTCAGAGTCAGCGTCGTGCCTGACGCGGACGTGCCCGACACTGTTGTGTACGACGCGGACGTGGCTGACGTGGACGTGACTGACGAGGACGTGGCTGACGTGGACGTGGCTGACGAGGACGTGCCTGTAGTAGTAATCGTGGTCCTGGTCGACGTGTACGTCGTCCTGGTGGTGGTCGTCGGTGTCACGGACAAGGTGGAAGTCTGGGTTGTGGAAGTTGCCGACGTCGAGCTTCCGGTGCTAGTAGTAGTGGCGGTGATGGAAGTCTTCGACGTGGTGGTCGTGGAGAAGGTAGTCGCGGTGAGAGAAGTCTCCGTCGCGGAGGTCAGCGTGCCAGCCGTGGTTGTGGTTTCAGTGGTTGTGACTGATGAGACTGTTGTAATAGTCGAGGTGATTGATGTCTTAGTTGTGCTCGACTCGGTGGTGGAAGTGGTTGACGTGTCTGTGGTTGTGCTCGACCACGTACTGGTTGCCGTAGTACTGGTCAAGGTGCTGGTAACAGATGTGACGGTCGAGGATGTGGACGTGGTGAAGGTGGTTGTTTGTACTGTGGTAGTGCACTCGCCGATGGGGTCTGAAGGGTAGAGATACGCGGCCATTGGCGGGCACTCGCTGTCATCGTCCAGAGACAGCAGAGGCACCTCGACCCCTTGGGGCAGTGAGTAGCTCGCGACCGCTGTCTTAGCCAGCCCTTCCACGACGGGGACAATCATGACATGAGTCCCTCGGATGTCGACGCTGATCAGCGCCACGGTGTAGTGATCCTCGTGGCAGCAGCCGTCGACAGTAGCTGGTGCATCGGCGTCCACTTCCACGTAGCCGATCTGATCCGCCTTCACGCCATCTCCATACGTCCAATACAGCTCGTACCCGATCACCATCGTCTCGGTCACCCATCCGCTGAGCTGGTTCTGGCCGAATGTCAGGTTGCCAGTGTACACGAAGGCCTGGGGGTCCGAGTCGGCGGTGAGGACAGGAGTGCCGCACACCCTGCACAGCACTTCGGGGTAGCTGCCGTTCGACAGCTCTGGCGCTTGGTGTCGCCCAGTCCCGTTCGGGCACGTGAGCACGGGGATGTCCTGGCTGACACACTGCGTCTGCATGGGGATACCTTGGCACGACTCTCCCGCGCTGACAGATTCGCAATTCTGCAGCGGGTACAGGCCGCAAGTGGTACAGAACGCCACAGTTGTGGTGGTGGTCACGCTGGTCTCCGTAGAGGTGATCGTAGAGGTCGTCAGGGTCGAGGTTGTGTCGGTCGAAGTCAAATGGGACGTGGTAGTCGCAGAAACCGTGGACATCGTGCTACCTGATGTGGATGTTACAGTTGATATGGTAGTAGTGCTGGAAGTGAGCGAGGTGGCCGTTTTGGTCGTGGTCGAAATAGATGTGGCGGATGTGGTAGTGGTTATTGACGTTACGGACGTGGTGGAACTCGCCGTCGTTGAGGACAAGGTAGTGCTTGAAGTCTCGGACGTGGAAGTCCCAGATGTCGAAGTCGCAGATGTAGAACTCTCCGAGGTCGTGGACCGCGTCGTGCTGGAAGACACGGTAGTGCTCGAAGTCTCCGAGGTCGTGGACCGCGTCGAGGACACAGTAGTGCTCGAAGTCTCCGAGATCGTGGACCGCGTGGTGCTGGAACTCGCAGTCGTCGAAGACACAGTGCTACTCGAAGTCTCCGAGGTCGTGGACCGCGTTGTGCTGGAGCTCGCAGTGGTCGAGGACACAGTGCTACTCGAAGTCTCCGAGGTCGTGGACCGCGTTGTGCTGGAACTCACAGTGGTCGTGGACACAGTAGTGCTCGAAGTGTCCGAGGTGGTGGACCGCGTCGTGCTGGAACTCGCAGTCGTCGAGGACCGGGACGTGCTGGAACTTTCAGAAGTCGTCGACCGCGTCGTGCTAGAAGTCTCCGTCGTTGAAGGAATGGCTGTTGGTGCAGGTGTTGGTGCTGGAGTCGGCGCTGGCGTCGGTGCCGGCGTTGGTGCTGGCGTAGGCGCTGGCGTTGGTGCAAGCGTCGGTGCCGGCGTAGGTGCTGGCGTTGGTGCTGGCGTCGGTGCTGGCGTCGGTGCTGGCGTAGGCGCTGGCGTCGGTGCGGGCGTAGGTGCTGGCGTCGGTGCTGGCGTTGGTGCTGGCGTTGGTGCCGGCGTTGGTGCTGGCGTCGGCGCGGGCGTAGGTGCTGGCGTTGGTGCTGGGGTTGGCGCTGGCGTCGGTGCCGGCGTAGGTGCTGGCGTTGGTGCTGGGGTTGGCGCTGGCGTCGGTGCTGGCGTAGGTGCTGGCGTCGGTGCTGGCGTAGGCGCTGGCGTCGGTGCTGGGGTTGGCGCTGGCGTCGGTGCGGGCGTGGGTGCCGGCGTCGGAGCTGGCGTAGGCGCTGGCGTTGGTGCCGGGGTTGGCGCTGGCGTTGGTGCTGGGGTTGGTGCCGGGGTTGGCGCTGGCGTTGGTGCTGGCGTTGGCACTGGCGTTGGTGCTGGAGTTGGCGCTGGCGTCGGTGCTGGCGTAGGTGCTGGCGTCGGTGCTGGCGTAGGCGCTGGCGTCGGTGCTGGCGTAGGCGCTGGCGTCGGTGCTAGCGTTGGTGCTGGCGTTGGTGCTGGGGTTGGCGCTGGCGTCGGTGCGGGCGTAGGTGCTGGCGTAGGTGCTGGCGTAGGTGCTGGCGTAGGTGCTGACGTAGGTGCTGGCGTCGGTGCTGGCGTAGGCGCTGGCGTTGGTGCTGGCGTCGGCGGTGTCTGGGAGGACCCTGTCGTGGTGGAACTCGAAGACCCCGAGGTCGTGGACACCGTCGTACTAGAACTCGCGGACGTCGAGGACACGGTAGTGCTTGAAGTCTCCGAGGTCGTGGACCGCGTCGTGCTGGAACTCGCAGTCGTCGAGGACACAGTAGTGCTCGAAGTATCCGAGGTGGTGGACCGCGTCGTGCTGGAACTCGCAGTCGTCGAGGACACAGAGGTGCTGGAACTCACAGAAGTCGAGGAGGTCATGGACTCCGTCGTGCTGGAAGTCTCCGTTGTCGAGGACACGGTAGTGCTGGAACTGTCAGAGGTCGTGCTGCTAGAACTCCCAGTGGTGGTAGTCCCAGAGGTGGTAGTCCCGGAGGTGGTAGTCCCAGAGGTAGTAGTCCCAGAGGTGGTAGTCAAGGTTGAGACCGTAGTTCTCGTTATAGTGGTCTCTGATGTTGTACCAGTCACGGCCGTAGTGGTAATCGAGGTTCCTGTTGTCTGAGTCGCCGAACTTGCCGTGGTGCTCGATGTCGTTGTCATTGTTCCTGTCGATTGAGAAGTTGTCGTTTTTGTGGTTGACGACTTTGTCGTGGTACTCGAGGCCGTTGTAGTGGTGCACAGCATGGCCGAAGAAGGTAGCGGCACGCTTGCGTAGGTGCACTGCGCGTCAGCGAAATACAAGCGTCGGTCGTTCAGTCCTCCTTCGTGGGCCCAAATCGGCACCCCGTACTCTACCAAGGCGTCTTGTGCGCCAGCGGAGAGGGCGCAGGATACGCCGATCATCCACGCCAGCCCCGCGCTGAGCGACGCCATTGCTGCGGACACTTAGCCGCTGACGTCGCGGATGCTTGCCCAAGAGGGAGCTTGCTTGATGTATTTTGAGCCAAAATGGCTACGGACTCCAACTCGGGACCATCATGTTAGATACCCCAATGGCAAATCTGGAAAAGCACCCGCCGAAAAAGCAGTGTCAAATTATCCCACATCTGGTGCCGATATATTGATTGTGTCGGACTCTTGTGGGGCCCCACGTTGGGGGCTCCCAGACGACCACACGTGAGATCCCCCGCCCCGTGGGCGGCCTGGGCCTGGACACGTGGAAACACGTGGTTCCAGCCTTGGGCAACCGTGTTAGATACAGTCGGGGCGTTGACCTCAGGAACCTTAAATAAGGAACGAGGCCCCTTGATCCCAAAAGTTCAGCTTGGATTTCCCATCGAAAACCTCAGGAAAACCAAAGCCACACTGTAAAACAATCAAGGAACACCGAGCCCCTCCCCAACGAGAAGGGTTCCTTCTTCAGCGCCCCGACTGTACCCCTCTGGGTGGCCTGGGCACGTGGAAAACACGTGGACCCAGCTCGGGACCACCCTACTAGATACCTCTTTTTGTTCTGGGTGGCCTGGGCACATGAGACATGTGGTTCTAGCGAGGTGCAAGCGGCAACAATCTCAGATACCCCCTCCCACCTGTGGCGGCCTGGACACGTAACAGCACGTGGCTCCAGCTCGAGACCATCATGTTCGATACCGCACCGTGGGTGGCCTCGGCACGCGAAGACACGTGGTTCCAGCTCGGGACCACCATGCTGGATATTCCCTTCCCTGGGTGGCCTGGACATATGAAACTACGTGGTTCTAGCTCGGGACAGCCATGCTAGATGCCCCTCTGGGCGGCCTGGACACAGGATTACACGTGAGTCCAGCTCAGGGCCACCATGTTGGATACCTCTCTTGTGGGCCTGGACACGTGCAAACATGTGGTTCCAGCTCGGGACCACCGTGTTAGATACCCCAGGAAGAAATCTCGAACATCACCCGCCGCGGAAACCGTGCCACATGTTTACGCATCGGGTGCGGTGTTGTTGATATTGTCTGGCTCTTGTGGGGCCCCGATGCTGGGGTCTCCTAGACGACCACACGTTAGAGTCCCCCCCCCGTGGGTGCCCCGCACACGTGAGAGCACGTGGTTCCAGCTCGGGGCAACCATGCTGGATAGATATCCCCCCTGCGTGGCCTGGACACGTTGAAAACACGTGGACCTGGCCCGGCACGGAAACGGAACGAGCGCTGCAGCAACAGAAGCCAAAATTGCGCACACCACCGTTCGTACTGGGAGCCTTGGCGTTGAGAGCCTCTTACCTCACCCCTCGCTCTCGGGAGCCTTGCTGTTCAGAGATTGTTGCGTTGCCGCCCGTTCCTGAGCCTTGGCTGGGCCTTGGTGTCAGGAACTTGTTACGTCACCGCTCTCTGCTGGGAGCCTTGGTCTTATCAGCTTGTGTACGTCACCGTTCGCTCTTGGGAGCCTTGGCGTAAAGAGCTGTTTGCGTTACCGATCGCTCTTTATTTGGCGTCTCTGGGCCTTCGTGGGAGTCATATTGAAACCCTTTTAGAGCCCTTTTGGGGGCCTCTTGGGAATTCTTGGGGGGCTCTGGGGGCCTCCTGGGAGCGTCTTGGGGCGAAAGGCTAGACTTTTGGGTTCCTGATCCCCCTCTTGGGGCCGTCTCGGGGCCCTGTTGGGCCGTCTTGGGCGCCTCTTGGGCCGCCTGGGGGCCCTCTTGGGCCGTTTTGGGGGCCTCTTGGGAGCCTCTTGGGCTGTCTTGGGCGGTCTTTGGGGCCTCGTGGACCGTCTTCAACGCCGTGGAAGCCGAAAAGCCGCGCATGCTAAAAATATACGTTTCCCCAAAAAGGGAATCAATGATGTTGGCCTCCTGCTGGCCTCTTGGGACGCCTCTTGCAGGCCTCTTGGGCCTTCTTGGGAGGCTCCGGGGGCCTCCTGGGAGCGTCTTGGGGCGAAAGGCTAGACTTTTCGGTTCGTGGTCCCCCTCTTGGGGCCGTCTTGGGGCCCTCTTGGGCCGTCTTGGGCGCCTCTTGGACCGTCTGGGGGCCCTCTTGGGCCGTTTTGGGGGCCTCTTGGGAGCCTGTTGGGCCGTCTTGGGGCGGTTTTGGGAGCCTCGTGGACCGTCGTCAACGCCGTGGAAGCCGAAAAGCCGCATATGCGAAACGTGCACGTTTTCCCAAGGAAAATCAATGATTTTGGCCTCTTGGGGCCCTCTTGGGACGCCCCTTGGGCGCCTCTTGGGGGCCTCTTGGGGGCCACTTGAGCCGTCTTGGGCTCTCTGGGAGCGCTCTTGGGCCGCCTTGGGGGGGAACCCGAAACACATGCAAAAACCCGAGGGAAAGCCCGAAAACGGCCGTTACCAACATTGCATCCGGCCCTCGCCCTTCCCCTGGACCCCTCCCTTAAGGGCTTCGCCCCAACTCAACGTCATCACTCGTACCTCGCTCTTTCCATTATCCAGCTCGGGACCACCATATTAGATGATTTTTCTGGGCGGCCTGGACACGTTGAAAACACGTGGTTCCAGCTCGGGGCCACCATTTCTTCCTTGGGGACAAGATTGGAGCGGACCGCAGGGTTCGGCTGTGGGGCGGTAGACGCGGGCTGAGGTAAGACGGCGCACAGCACGCTGCACAAACAAGGCTGGCGACACAATTATGCCACCGAGCTGCGCAGAAAAAACAACAAGAACGGCCAGAAGCAGAACAAATCCCCTGGGGGCGTCAAATAACACAGACGCCAGGTGGCACAGCGTTGTCCCGAGGGCATGGCCAGACCAAACCCGCCACGGAAGCTCATACCGCAAGATGCTTCCGCGGGCGCGTCGCCACGGCGGAGGCGGCACACACAGTACAGTACAAGCGCGCCTGGGTCCCACCGACACCATAGCCCGAGGCAGGTGCGCGGGCGAGGTGGGGGGGCAGGGCACGCCTCGAGAGAAGAGGGGACTTTCGCAGCGCCCCGTTCGAACGGAGCCGGCTGGGGGCAGGGAGGAGGGAGGCAAAACGAGGCGCCGGCCAGTGATGGGGAGGCAAGGAGCCCGCGGCGGGTGCCACAGAGGGTCGCCCGCAGGGCCAAGATGGCTGGAAGGTCCAGCGTGGCCTCCTGGCTGCTCGTCAGGGTGGAGGGCCCACAGACGCCGGGCGGATGGCGCAGGACGTCGTGCCTCGCGCCTCGCCCCTGCATCGCGGGCGGCAGCAGCAGCTGGTGGGCCGCCGGGAAAAAAGGAAGCGGTTCCCGGCCCATCTATAGTTAGGATGGCGTGCGCGCCACGTGTTGTGGCCGGCTGGGAACGGCTGCGACTCCTGCAAGCATTCCGAAGTCGAGAAGAGCCCGACTAAGACTTCAATCTACCCTGTGGCCTCCACGAGGTGCACCTGGCTACCCTCCTCCCTCCCTCCTAGCCGGAGGCAGGGCCTGATTGCAAGCTAGACCTTGCTCATGTCGGGCTGGCTGGAAGCAGCACTTACACGAAGGCGGACGTGGTGACCGCCACAATCAAGAAGGCCAGCACGTTCGCCGACAGCTGCGCAAAACCAGGAGCATTCGAATTGACCGTTGGCGGTAGGACGAAGGCCGTCGTGGTCCCCGTGGCCGTCTCGGTGGGGCCAGCGGTGACGAAGGTCGAAGTGAGACTAGTTATGCTGTTGGTGTCCGTGGTGCCAGTAGCGGTGGTTGTCGACCGAGTGGTGCTGGTCAGAGTGCTTGTCGTCCACGTGTCAGAAAAGCTGGCGACTAGACCAACGGGCATGGTGTAGCCGTTGTTGTCCGTCGGCACCACCATGAGGCCATCCGCGCCCGCTGGGACTGGCACGCTTGCGAACGAGACCGAGTACTTGGAGGCATCACAACCACAGCTGGACTTCACGTTCTCCGACGCGCCGCTCGGCTTCGCGACGCTCGCCGCAGGCGTGCTGTCAACGATTACGTCATATGCGTCGACCCAGTACACCTCGTACCCCTGGACGTCCATCTGGTTGATCTCGCCATGGACCATGTTCGGGCCGAACGTAAGGGTGAACGTGACCTGATTCTCTGCCAGGTCTTCGTCCGAGCTGAGGATCACGTCGCAGACCTGGCAAACAACCTGCGGGAGCGCCTGGTGCAGGTCGTACCACTGCTCCCACGGCGCCGCGGTCTCCCACACCGCGGCGCGGTCCACGACGCTGTTGCCGGCTGGGCATGTCATCGACAGGCTGCCCTCGTACTCGATGCACGGGCTCGGCTCGACGTAGAACTTGTTGGACATGTCCAGCTCCTCCGAGTCGAAGGTCTGCGTGCAAGGTACCCCGGGCAAGATCTTTCCGGGGGCGTCGTTGGCATCGAAGGTGCAACCAGTGAAGAAGCTCATCGCACATATCTCGCACTCTATCACTGTGGTGGTGGTCTCGGTGATAGTTGTGGTCGCCGTGGTCTCCGTGATAGTGGTAGTCGACGTGGCAGTCGTGGTCACGGTAGTAGTCGACGTGGCAGTCGTAGTCGTGGCAGTGGTAGAGGTAACGGTGATGGAAGTTTCAGTGGTACTGGTATTGGTGATGGACGTAGAACTACTGGTTCCGCTAGTGGTCGTCATCGTTCGATTGCTGATTGTGGTGAGTGTGCTTGATACTGTCGATGAAGATGTCCCCGTTGTTGTTATGGTCGATGTTGATGAAGCGCTGGTGGTCGTCATTGTTGCACTCACACCAGTCAGAGTCAGAGACGTGCCTGACGCGGACGTGCCCGACACGGATGTGTACGACGCGGACGTGGCTGACGTGGACGTGACTGACGAGGACGTGGCTGACGTGGACGTGGCTGACGAGGACGTGCCTGTAGTAGTGATCGTGGTCCTGGTCGAAGTGTACGTCGTCCTGGTGGTGGTCGTCGGTGTCACGGACAATGTGGAAGTCTGGGTTGTGGAAGTTGCCGACGTCGAGCTTCCGGTGCTAGTAGTAGTGGCGGTGATGGAAGTCTTCGACGTGGTGGTCGCGGAGAAGGTCGTCGCGGTGAGAGAAGTCTCCGTCGCGGAGGTCAGCGTGCCAGCCGTGGTTGTGGTTTCAGTGGTTGTGACTGATGAGACTGTTGTAATCGTCGAGGTGATTGATGTCTTAGTTGTGGTCGACTCGGTGGTGGAGGTGGTTGACGTGTCTGTGGTTGTGCTCGACCACGTACTGGTTGCCGTAGTACTGGTCAAGGTGCTGGTAACAGATGTGACGGTCGAGGATGTGGACGTGGTGAAGGTGGTTGTTTGCACTGTGGTAGTGCACTCGCCGATGGGGTCTGACGGGTAGAGATACGCGGCCATCGGCGGGCACTCGCTGTCATCGTCCAGAGACAGCAGAGGCACCTCGACCCCTTGGGGCAGTGAGTAGCTCGCGACCGCTGTCTTGGCCAGCCCTTCCACGACGGGGACAATCATGACATGGGTCCCGCGGATGTCGACGCTGATCAGCGCCACGGTGTAGTGATCCTCGTGGCAGCAGCCGTCGACAGTAGCTGGTGCATCGGCGTCCACTTCCACGTAGCCGATCTGATCCGCCTTCACGCCATCTCCATACGTCCAGTACAGCTCGTACCCGATCACCATCGTCTCGGTCACCCATCCGCTCAGCTGGTTCTGTCCGAATGTCAGGTTGCCAGTGTACACGAAGGCCTGGGGGTCCGAGTCGGCGGTGAGGACAGGAGTGCCGCACACCCTGCACAGCACTTCGGGGTAGCTGCCGTTCGACAGCTCTGGCGCTTGGTGTCGCCCAGTCCCGTTCGGGCACGTGAGCACGGGGATGTCCTGGCTGACACACTGCGTCTGCATGGGGATACCTTGGCACGACTCTCCCGCGTTGACAGATTCGCAATTCTGCAGCGGGTAGAGGCCGCAAGTGGTACAGAACGCCACAGTTGTGGTGGTGGTCACGCTGGTCTCCGTAGAGGTGATCGTAGAGGTCGTCAGGGTCGAGGTTGTGTCGGTCGAAGTCAAATGTGACGTGGTAGTCGCAGAAACCGTGGACATCGTGCTACCTGATGTGGTTGAAACAGTTGATCTGGTAGTAGTGCTGGAAGTGAGCGAGGTGGCCGTTTTGGTCGTGGTCGAAATAGATGTGGCGGATGTGGTAGTGGTTATTGACGTTACGGACGTGGTGGAACTCGCCGTCGTTGAGGACAAGGTAGTGCTTGAAGTCTCGGACGTGGAAGTCCTAGATGTCGAAGTCGCAGATGTAGAACTCTCCGAGGTCGTGGACCGCGTCGTGCTGGAAGACACGGTAGTGCTCGAAGTCTCCGAGGTCGTGGACCGCGTCGAGGACACAGTAGTGCTCGAAGTCTCCGAGATCGTGGACCGCGTGGTGCTGGAACTCGCAGTCGTCGAGGACACAGTGCTACTCGAAGTCTCCGAGATCGTGGACCGCGTGGTGCTGGAACTCGCAGTCGTCGAAGACACAGTGCTACTCGAAGTCTCCGAGGTCGTGGACCGCGTTGTGCTGGAGCTCGCAGTGGTCGAGGACACAGTAGTGCTCGAAGTGTCCGAGGTGGTGGACCGCGTCGTGCTGGAACTCGCAGTCGTCGAGGACCTGGACGTGCTGGAACTTTCGGAAGTCGTGGACCGCGTCGTGCTGGAAGTCTCCGTCGTTGAAGGGATGGCTGTTGGTGCAGGTGTTGGTGCTGGAGTCGGTGCTGGCGTCGGTGCTGGCGTTGGTGCTGGCGTAGGCGCTGGCGTTGGTGCTGGCGTCGGTGCCAGGGTCGGTGCTGGCGTTGGTGCTGGCGTAGGCGCTGGCGTCGGTGCCAGCGTCGGTGCTGGCGTTGGTGCTGGCGTCGGCGCTGGTGTCGGTGCCGGCGTAGGTGCTGGCGTTGGTGCTGGGGTTGGCGCTGGCGTCGGTGCCGGCGTAGGTGCTGGCGTCGGTGCCGGCGTAGGTGCTGGCGTCGGTGCTGGCGTTGGTGCTGGCGTCGGTGCGGGCGTGGGTGCCGGCGTCGGTGCTGGCGTAGGCGCTGGCGTTGGTGCTGGGGTTGGTGCCGGCGTAGGTGCTGGCGTCGGTGCTGGCGTTGGTGCTGGCGTCGGTGCCGGCGTAGGTGCTGGCGTCGGTGCTGGCGTAGGTGGCGTCCGGCGCCGCGTGCTGGCGTTGGTGCTGGCGTCGGCGCTGGCGTTGGTGCTGGCGTCGGTGCTGGCGTTGGTGCTGGCGTCGGCGCTGGCGTCGGTGCCGGCGTCGGTGCTGGCGTTGGTGCTGGGGTTGGCGCTGGCGTCGGTGCCTGCGTAGGTGCTGGCGTCGGTGCCGGCGTAGGTGCTGGCGTCGGTGCTGGCGTTGGTGCTGGCGTCGGTGCCGGCGTTGGTGCTGGCGTCGGTGCTGGCGTGGGTGCTGGCGTCGGTGCTGGTGTAGGCGCTGGCGTTGGTGATGGCGTTGGCGGTGTCTGGGAGGACCCTGTCGTGGTGGAACTCGAAGACCCCAAGGTCGTGGACACCGTCGTACTAGAACTCGCAGTCGTCGAGGACACGGTAGTGCTCGAAGTCTCCGAGGTCGTGGACCGCGTCGTGCTGGAACTCGCAGTCGTCGAGGACACAGTAGTGCTCGAAGTCTCCGAGGTGGTGGACCGCGTCGTGCTGGAACTCGCAGTCGTCGTGGACACAGAGGTGCTGGAACTCACAGAAGTCGAGGAGGTCATGGACTCCGTCGTGCTGGAAGTCTCCGTCGTCGAGGACACGGTAGTGCTGGAACTATCAGAGGTCGTGCTGCTAGAACTCCCAGTGGTGGTAGTCACAGAGGTGGTAGTCCCAGAGGTGGTAGTCCCAGAGGTGGTAGTCCCAGAGGTGGTAGTCCCAGAGGTGGTAGTCAAGGTTGAGACCGTAGTTCTCGTTTTAGTGGTCTCTGATGTTGTACCAGTCACGGCCGTAGTGGTCATCGAAGTTCCTGTCGTCTGAGTCGTCGAACTTGCTGTGGTGCTCGATGTCGTTGTCACTGTTCCTGTCGATTCAGAAGTTGTCGTTTTTGTGGTTGACGACTTTGTAGTGGTACTCGAGGCCGTCGTAGTGGTGCACAACATGGCCGAAGAAGGTAGCGGCACGCTCGCGTAAGTGCACTGCGCGTCGGCGAAATACAAACGTCGGTCGTTCAGTCCTCCTTCGTGGGCCCAAAGGGGCACCCCGTACTCTGCCAAGGCGTCTTGTGCGCCAGCGGAGAGGGCGCAGGATACGCCGATCATCCACGCCAGCCCCGCGCTGAACGACGCCATTGTTGCGGATACTTAGCCGCTGGCGTCGCAGATGCTTCCCAAACAAGAACTTCCTTGATGTATTGAGTCACAATTGCTATGGATCCCAACTCGGAACCACCATGGTAGATACCCCAGGGAGAAATAAGGAAAACGACCAGTCCAAGAAACTCTGTCAGGTTATTACACATCTGGTGCCGATTTATCGGGTTTGGTCTGGCTCCTGTGGGCCCAAGCTGGGGGCTCCCAGAGGGTTACATGTTAGATACCCCGCCCCGTAGCTGGCCAGCACATGTAAAAACATGTGGTCCCGGCTCGGGGCAACAATGTTAGATACCCCTTCTGGGTGGCCTGGACATGTGAAAACACGCGGTTCCAGCTCGGGACCACAACATTAGATACCTTTTCTTTCCTGGGTGGCCTGGACATATGAATTCAGATGGTTCGAGCGAGGGGCAACGACCACAATCTTAGGAACCCCGCCACCCAAAGCGGCCTGGACACATGAAAACATGTGGTTCCAGCTCGGGACCACCAGCATAGATACCCCCCCTGGCTGGCCTGGACACGTACAAAATATGGCTCCAGCTCGGGTCCACCATGTTCGATGTCCCCCTGGGTGGCCTAGACACGTGAAATCACATGGTTCAAGCTCGGGGTAGCTATGTTAGATACCCCTCTGGGTGGCCTGGACGCATGACAACATGTGAGTCCAGCTCGGGGCCTCCATGTTGGATGCCTCTCTTTGGGGCCTGGACAGATTAAAACATGTGGTTCCAGCTCGGGACCACCATGTTGGATAACAAAAGAAAACATCTTGAAAATCACCCGCCGCAGAACTCGTGCCAAAGTATTGCACATCTGGCGTCGTGCTATTGATGTTGCCTGGCTCTAGATAGTGCGGGGGGGTCCCAAGCGACCACACGTTAGATCCCCCGTGGGTGGAACGCACACGCAAAAGCAGGTGGTTCCAGCTCGGGGCAACCATGTTATACACCCCCTGGGTGACCTGGACACATGGAAAAACATGGCTCAAACTCGGCACCCCTATGTTAGATACTGTTCTGTGTGGCCTGGGCACGTGAACACACGTGGTGTCAGCTCGGGGCCACCAAGTTAGATACCCCCCTAGGTGGCATGGACACGCAAAAGCATGATTTCAGCTTGGGTCCACCATTTCAGATATCCCCCCTGAGTGGCCTGGACAAGTGAAACCACGCGGTTCCAGCTCGGCACAGCCATGTTAGATACCTCTCTGGGTGGTCTGGACACATGGCAACACGCGAGTCCAGCTCGGGGCCACCATGTTGGATACCCCCCTGGGTGGCCTGGACACGTACGACCTCGTGGCTTCAGCTCGGGACAGCCATGTTAGATACCCCAGGGAGAAATCTCAAACATCACCCGCCGAAGAAATTGTGCTTACTACACATCTGGTGCCGTTTTCTTGATTTGGTCTGGCTCTTGGTGGCCCCCACGCTGGGGACTCCTAAGCGTCCGCACGTGGTTCCAGCTCGGGGCCGCCATGTTAGATACCCCCAACATGGCCTGGACACGTGACAAACACATGGCTCAAGCTCGGAAGCTCTATGTTAGATACTGTTCTGGGCTGCCTGGAAAAGTGAAATCATGTGGTTCCAGCGGGGGGCCACCATGTTAGATACATTTCTGAGTGGCCTGGGCGCGTGAAAATACGTGGTTCCAGCTCGGGGGAATGTCAGATACCACAGGGAGAAATCTGGATAATCACCAGCCGAAGGAATTGCGTCAAGTTATTACACATCTGGTGTCGATCTAGTGATTATGTCTGGCTCTTGTGCCCACCCCCCACGCTGGGGGCTACCAGACGACCATAGGTTAGATACCCTCCCCGCGGCTGGCCCGCACACGTAGAAACACTGGGTTCCAGCTCGGGGCCACCATGTTAGATACCCCTTCTGGGTGGCCAGGTCATGGAAAACACGAGGTTCCAGCTCGGGGCAGCCATGTTAGATACCCCTCTGGATGGCCTGGACAAGTGGGAAACACGTGGTTCCAGCTCGGGGCCACCATGTCAGATACCCCTCTGGGTGGCCTGGGCACGTACAAACACTTGGCTCACGCCCGGGACCACCATCTTAGATGCCCCCGTGAGCGGCCCGCTTAACACCTGGTTCCATCTGGGGACAGCCATGTTAGATACCCCCCTCGGCAACCTGGGCACGAGAAAACAAGCATTTCGCCTGAGACATCCTCTGAATGCTGGCGTCCAGGAGAGGAGCAACTTATAGGACAATAAAGCGTTTCGCTAGAGACATCCTCAACGAATTCTGCAACACAAGCGTTTCGTTCGAGACATCCGCAATAAACGACCATGTCTACTTGATCCTGTGTTTTGTCGATCGGAATGTCAAACACCAGCGTTTCGTTCGGGACATCCTCACGATTCAATTCCGCCACTCCTGCGCGAACTTGTTATCAATCGGAGAATAATTCCACCGGCCCTCGCAAGTCGAGGCCGAGGATGAAACGAACGTAAAGAGAACCCTGGGCCTCTGCCCTTTCGGGAAAAAACAGGATCGACCCACGAACCCTGCTACGGGCATGGCTACGTTTTTAACACACCTGAGTGGGCGACGGGCAATTGCAAGGCTGAGTGTATCGATCTTGATGTACCGTGCCAAGGGCTGTGCGATATAACGCCGTGCCGAATTTCGATGTGTCATGCCGCGATTGTGCTCTATTGCGTTGTGGATCGAGTTCTCCTATGCAGCCGAGTCCTGACTGAACTGATCTGGATCTTGCAGTAAGCTCGAGCTGCCTGAGCCTATAGTAGCTGCCCCAGAGCTAGGGGAACACGCCAGGGGGACGCGCCGCGGAACGTCCCACGGGACGCGTCAGGGGTCGTGCCAGGGGACGTGCCATGGGGATGCACCGGCGGGACGTGCCATGGGGACGCGCTACGGAACGTGCCAACGGACGTGCCACGGGACGCGCCAGAGGACACGCCGCGCAACGTGCCAGGGGGACTTGCCATGGGACTCGCCACGGAACGTGCCAAGTTGCAAGGCTGAATGTATCGATCTTGATGTACAGTGCCAAGGGCTGTGCTGTGCAGCGCCGTGCTGAATTGCGATGTGCCATGCCGCGATTGTGCGCTATGGCGTTGTGGATCGAGTCCTCCTTTGCATCCGAGTCCTGACTGAACTGATCTGGACCTGAAGCACGAGCTGCTTGAGCCACGAGCTGCCTGAGCACATAGTAGCTGACCCAGAATTAATTGACAGGGGGACATGCCAGGGGGACGCACCGCGGAACGTCCCACGGGACGCGTCAGGGGTCGTGCCAGGGGACGTGCCATGGGGATGCACCGGCGGGACGTGCCATGGGGACGCGCTACGGAGCGTGCCAACGGACGTGCCACGGGACGCGCCAGAGGACACGCCGCGCGATGTGCCAGGGGGACTCGCCACGGGACCTGCCACAGAGCGTGACAAGGAACGTGCCAGGGAACGCGTCAGGGAACGTGCCGCGGGCCGCCCCTGACCCAGGGCCAGGATCCCTCGTAAATTACAATGCGTCCGCGCTCCCAGGGCTACGATCCATTGTAAATTACGCTGCGTCGCTCCCAGGGCCCAACACCCATACGCTTTCCGACCACAAGCTGGTACAGTAACAATGGGTGTGCAGTTCGACGCTCCACAACCTACTGCTGGATGCTCCTGGTTGCGGGCAGCACGCTACGGCAAGCGGAAACCCGACCAAGACGAAGCACGAAGCGACGCCCAAGGCAGCACAACCACGACTACGACGCAAACCGGGAGCAGACCAGCGACGCAGCACGAGCGACAACAACCGCACGACGCTGCAGCAGCAGCGACAGCACGACGCAGCAGCACGACGCAGCAACAGCAGCAAGACGCAGTAGCATCAGCACGACGCAGCAGCATGACGCAGACCACACCAGCAGCACGGCGCAGCAACACAACCAGCCAGCACGCAACAAATCGGAACCACATGTCGACGCAGCACGACCGCTCGAGGGCCCAAGCGGCCCACGACCTCCGAGCGACCAACGAACGAGCAACGACCAATGGGGACACCGTGGAGGGGTTTGGCTGCACGTTGGCGCGCCCTGCCCGCCTACATCCACGGGGGCACCATCGACGAATGGTGGACCGACTGGAGTGCGCGAGCAGAGGCAGTGCTACAATCCCAGGCGACGGTAGTCTTGACCCAGGGCACAGTCCCAAAATCCGACATCTCTTTCGCAACGTGGCAAAGGAGAGAACAAGACGACGACGTGTGGACAAAACACACGCGGCAACTACGCCTACTAATCCAACGGCTCTGGACCCCGCCGGCACGGCGAGGGAGGCAAGCGGCCGGGGACCTAGCGAAGTGGGCGAGGAAAAATCACAAACTGTGGCGCTCTGTGATGGGTGGCGACATGCCGGACTCGGAGCCAGCAGCAACGGAACAGGCGGAAAAGGCGCTCGCTACAGCCATGAAGGGGTGCAAGAACGAACGCGTCAAATGCTAGAGAAAACGTCTACAGGCCGACGGGCTTGGGAAGACCACGGCGGCCTGGATCCGTAACGCAGTCAGCACGTACCACAACGTATCTGTGCAGGACGACACCAAGCACGACCACGACGAAAACGACACCACGCCCACCAACTACTTTGCACAAAACGCAGTGGAACGCATCCGCGATTACTACGAGAAGCATTTCACGGCTTGTGGACACGGCAACGACACGGACGGTTACTTCTACCATTACGACGACTGCATCGAGGAGGCACGACAAGAAGTCCGACATGAGCAAGGGCAGCGCGACCACTGGGCACGACACGCAACTGCAACCCTTGGCAACTTTGACCACTGGGCACCGCCAGCGGCGCCGCAGTTCCGCCGCATGTTACACGGGGGCACGGCAGCAGGACCAGACCAATGGGCTCCCTCGGAGCTTATGGAGGAGCTGGAGGAGCTGGTGGACGTGGAGGACTGGAGGAGCTGGTGGAGAGCCGGTGGACATCTGAGAAGCTGGTGGACATCTGAGTCTACGCCGTGGAGCACGGCACAGGTGGAGGGCAGACCAAATGGCCACCTACCTCAGCCCCGCCTTCCTCCCCACGCAGGGAGGCGGACTCAGAGGGAGATCCCTCGAGTCCCTCATCGAGCCTTACCTTTCGCTCATTGAAGAGATTATTGCAGCAAGCCGCTACGGCGACAGAGACGGCGACCTCGGTGACCTCACAGGGGGAAGAACGACGTTTGCTGCGAGAGAGACAAGCCGAACTTCACGTCAAATCGTGGGACTACGCTTCTGCTTTCGACCGGGTTTCTCCGCGGATCGTGGGCGAGATTTGGGAGCGACTTGGGGTGCCGACCAAGATCGCCGACAGCATCGTGCAAATCTGGACGCGACAGGAGCGATGGATTGAGATGGGGCAGCTTCTCTCACCGCGCACGATCAGCGTCCAGCACAGTCTACCTCAGGGGGACCCTGCCGCAATGCTCGGGATGGCCACCGTGCTCATAGGGCCTCTACGACGCCAAGCTGCACTGCACCCACGAGCAACCTTCTGAACCTTTGCGGGCGACCCCGCGGCGGCCACGACCACCGAGGACGAACTACGGAGCATCGAGGAGGGATGGGACATGCTGGAGTCCGTCACCGCGCTGCGCACCAGCACCAACAAAAACCAGGCTGTCATAATCCTTCCGCACCAGTGCGACAACCACCACTTGCAGGGCAAAAGGATGACATGCCTTGGTATCGACTTCGCCATGCAGAGGGCCACGCTCACAAGCCGGGAGCGAGGCAAAATCGAGGAGGCGCTTGCGCGCATAAAACGGATTGCGGGTCTACCCCATGAGCATGCGGCTGCGCACGACTGCGGCGGCCACCATTGCGCTCCGGTGGCGAGCTGGGCACTCGGTGTCACGCCGCCGAAAAAGGCTGCCATCCAGGAACACCTACAACGAGCACGGAAGGCCGTGACACTACGGAAGTGGCCACGAGCAGCTCCCGAACTTTTCCGACTGGCTGTGATGGGGCACAGCACTGAGTTGCGCTACCATCTGTGCCGACGAGCACTACGACTTCTGGCTTGCAGACTACGACGGCAGGGACCAGGAGCACTTGTTTTCTGGTACAAAATCACTATCAATACCGACACCAAGGGGCCACTCAACGCCTATCGTGCCCACCTGTCTTCCAGCAACGAGGTGCGACGACGACGGTTTCTGGAGAGGCCCACGAAGGGAGGTGCACCTCACCATCAGAGCAGACCGACAACTACACGAACTACGGCTGATACTCCGATCCCATGAATGGGCCATCCTCCAGGGACAGAACCGACGGGAGAGCCCCATGGCAGCCGGGGTGCCCTTCCCGGCTGCCGCCGTCCGCGCGGCGCAGGAGGCGCGAAAGAACAACCCGACCCTCCCCGCCCACATCGCCGCAGTGCTGTGCGGCTGTGTGGTCTCCGACGCACTACTGGAATCCAACCAGGGGGAGGCGGTCTCGACCACTTGCGACCACTGCGAGGAACAGCACGTTCTGACGCTCGACCACATGTACTGGGTATGCACAGCCAACGCCGACCTGCGGCGAGGCATCACGACACCGACGGCGGACCTCACGCGACGGCTGGGCTGGCCGACGGAAGACGTCACTTGCAGAACAACCACCACATGGATCGCCATGGTGCTGGCTATGGCACGTACCCGGGAGCGTGCATTGCAGCACCGGCACCAACGACCACACGACGACCATTGACACACCGACCAACGATCACGACCTACATTATAAAAATGTTCACAACCGACGCATCAGATTGGCTCAAGTGGTACTCGTGTGGTGTCTGGGCAGCTCAGTTCTCCTTCGGGCTGCTATTTCTACTCCGCTTGTACTATTGGTCTATTACGGTTGTAATAAATGTTGTGCTACATATGTGTGTGTGTGTTGGGCAAAATCCTGGTGGTTATACATTTTGTTTTACATGTATGTGCTGGGCAATTTGCGGTGTGGGTTTGTTGTGCAGTTCATTGCAATGACGGGCCCGGTACACCATATGACGCATCTGCATGTGATGCTATGCCCTGACGCTACGTGTGGGGCCGGAGCTCTTCGATCGCCGCAGCTCTTCGAGTTGCGCGGTGTCCTCACATGCCTACGGATTGGGGACACAGATTGCTTCTACCCTCGATCCCTCTTTGAGAAAACGCTGCGTCCACTCTCCCTGGGCCACGATCCCACGTAAACTACGCTGCGTCCGCGCTCCCCGGGCCGCGCTCCCCTGTGAAATACTCTGTGTCCGCGCTTCGGGGGCCACGTTTCCTAATAAATTATGCTGTGCCAGCCCCCAAGGTTACGCTGCGCCCGCGCTCCCCAGGGCCACGATCCATTGTACATTACGCTGTGTCCGCGCTTCCAGGGCCACGATCCCAGGTAAATTGCGCTGCGTCCGCTCTCTCTGGGCCACCATCCCTCGTGAACTACGCTGCGTCCGCGCTCCCAGTACCACTCCTTCGTGAATCATGTGTCCGCGCTCCCAGGGACACGTTCCCTCTTGAAGTACGCTGTGTCCGCCCCCCCCCCACGGCCAGGATCCCTTGTAACAAAACGCTGCGTCCGCGTCCGCGCTCCCAAGGGCCACGATCCCTCATAAATTACGCTGCGTCCGCTCTCCCTGGGCCACGATCCCTCGTAAACTATGCTGCGTCCGCGCTCCCAGGGCCACGACCCCTGGTAAACTAAGCTGCGTCCACGCTCCCAAGGCCACGTTCGCATGTAAATTTCGCTGCGTCCGCACTCCCAGAGCTCCCTGGGGCATTTGGGCGTCCAGGTTCCTGGAAGTCTCCGAAATTAACGTTTCGCTCGAGACATCCTCAACACATTCTGCAAAACGAGCGTTTCGCTCGAGACACCCGCAACAAATGAAAATACTTACTTTATTCTATGTTGTATCGATCAGAATAAAAGACCAGCGTTTCGCTCGGGACATCCTCAAAGTTTAATTCGCCGGCCCGTCTCGACCTCTTTATTTATTGCAAATAATTCCGCAAGCCCGTCTCAAGTCGTCCCAGGGGGGGAGTAAACCTAGTAAAAGAAAACTCTGGGCCCCCGCCCTTCCGGGAACAAACGCTAGATGATTTGCATGAACCCGCTGCCGCGCAGTAGCAACAACAAGAGGACGGGAGATGAGGGGGGCAGAGGGAAGGGTGTGGACGGGGACGCGAAGGATTTCGAGGGGGAGCAAGAGAAGGAAGGGGGTGAGGGGGGAGAAGGGATGAGCGTGGAGGAGATGGGGAGGAGGGGGAGGATGGGGCACTGGGGGCCGGGCAGAGCATGGGGAGCCGATGGCCCTCCACACGCCGGCACCTGTTGGACAGCAGCTCCGCTGCACCCCCCCTAGACCTCCAGCAACGCCTCGGCATCCACGCCGGCAGCGCCCGCTCCGAGGGGCTGCACCAGGGTCCAGCTCCGGTCGGAGGAGGTGGACTCCTGCACGCCGTTGCTCAGGAACCGAGGCTCGCCGCGTGCACCCAGGACCACGTGCGGCCTCTCGCGCCGATACGCCACCAACGGTCGGCGGCTCAGAGGTGGGGCCCCGATGGATCGGGCCGGGCCCTCGTGCCCAGACCCCCGACGCCCTGCTCTTGTCATGGCGTGGGCCCCTCTGGAGGTCTCGGCCCAGCCCCTGGGCCGGCAGGGCCCGGCAAGGGCCCCCAGACGCCGGAACGTGCCAACCACCTCCCGTCGTGATGCGTTCATGGCGGGGCCCAGGTGATGGGATCACGGCTCGGGCCTTCCCTGCCTGATGCTCTCGCCCGTATAGGGCACCATCCATCAGGGTCGGGGGTCCACTGACCCGGGTCAACCCAAACCCGGGCCAGTCAGGCCTGGCAGGATCCTGCAGGATCCTGCGCCCCAGCCCGGGTCAATGCAACCCCTGAGATCCGATGTCGTGATTTTTTCAATGCTGGGCCCCCGGAAGTCTCGACCCCTTCCCCAGGACCGGTTTTTCATCCTGAGTCGTCTCTTGACGGCCTCGAGGCCCGGCGAGGGCCCCCAGAGACCGAAACGTGCGATAAAAGCGTCCGTCTTGATTTTTGTCAATCTACGCTGGACCTCTGGGACCCCAGCTCTGCAGGATCCTGCAAGCTCCGGCGCCCTGACCGACGCCCGCTTGCAGCGACCCCCGTCTCTCGGGAGCAGCCAAGAGGGGGGTGTCCAAGAGGGGGGGGTGCAAATCATGACCAGCGGCATGTGCGCGGCCCAGCGGGGGGGCCAGGGAAGTAATGAAATAAGAAGGGGCGCCACGAAATCTGGGAAATACCATGGCCCAGGCCATGATATCCACCCCCCCTAGTCTTTGCCGCCCCCGAGTCTCGCGAGCCCCGGCGGGGCCCCGTCCCCGCGCCGCCGGGACGAGCCGCCCCCCGCCCAGGCCACGGTGCCGTTGTAGGCCGCGTGCTCGGCGTAGCTCCACGTGGCCCCGAGGTCGTCCGAGAAGGCGTGGCGGCCCACCGCGGTGCACCGCCGCGGCCCCTGCTTCAGCGGTGGCTCAAGGGGCGGGGCCCGGAGGGGCGGGGCGCCCCGGGGGCGAGGCGCCCCGAGCGCCAGGGATCCGCCCGGGGTGCCCACCCTCCTCGTCCTCCCCCTCCCCCTCCCCCTCCTCCTCCTCCTCCTCCTCCTCCTCCTCCTCCTCCTCCTCCTCCTCCTCCTCCTCCTCCTCCTCCCTCCTCCTCCTCCTCCTCCTCCTCCTCCTCCTCCTCCTCCTCCCCCTCCCTCCCCCTCTTCCCCCTCCTCCTCCTCCTCCCCCTCCTCCTCCTCCCCCTCCTCCTCCTCCTCCTCCGCCTCCTCATCCTCCTCCTCGGAGAGCCGGACGCTCCAGCAGAGGAGGTCGGCGCGGGCGGTCTTCTCGGGCCGCCCTCGGCCTATCGGACATGGGGGCTCTCGCCCGGGCCTCTCGGGAGGGGTCGCGGAGGGCGCAGCGGTCGAGCCACGAGCCCGGAGAGGGAGGACTGGGAGCGTGAGGCATGGCAGCGTTCCTTCGAGACGCCTCGTCGGGCGAGGGGCAACTGCAATGCTGAGTGTATCGATCTTGATCTTCGCCTCGAAGGATTGCAAAAAAAACCTTTTTGTCGAAGGATTGCAAAAAAACCCTCGAACGAAGGATTGCAAAAAAAAACCTCGAAGGATTGCAAAACAAACCCTCGATCTTGATCTTCGCCTCGAAGGTTTTGTTGCAATCCTTCGTTGCAATCCTTCTTCCCTGTCCGCGCGTACCTTTTCCTGTGCAAGCTCTTCGGCACCGCCTGCACCCCGGGCCCCGCCCGCTCCGGCCGCCCGAGGCCCCGCCCTCCTGTGCCTTGTCGCCCTAATGAAAGCTGTGCGTAGCCCGCCCAGCTTTTAGCGGAAGAGGTTCGCTCTCGCCCCGCCGACCAAAAAAGAGTGTATCGATCTTGATGTACCGTGCCAAGGGCTGTGCTGTGGTGCGCGGTGCTGGCTTGCGACGTGCCGTGCCGCGATGGTGATCTATATAGCGTTGCGGATCGAGTCCTCCTTTGCATCCGAGCCTAGACCGAACTGATCTGGATCTTAAGCTCGATCTGCCTGAGCACATCGTGGCTCCGCCAGAGCTCGCTGCAGTGGAAACGTGCGGGACGCTCAATCCACTCGAGCTCAACATCGGGCTCGGCTCCGAAGAGAAACGACACGACACGGGGCGCGGGCTCACGGACGCGACGCAGCATGCTGCAGGGGCGCAAGAGGGGGATGGGACAGGGGGCGTGCCAAGGGGACGCAGCAGGGGACGTGCACTGGACGTGTGAGGGACCTGCCACGGGACGTGCCAAGGCGCGTGCCATGGGGCGGCCAGAGGACCTCCTGCCAAGGGACGGTGCAAGGGGCGCGCCACGGAACGGGCAGGGGAGACGCCTGGGCACGAGCCAGTAAACGCGACAGAGGACGAGCCAGGGAATATGCCACGCCGAGTGGCGTGCTGGGGGACGTGCCAGGGCACATCACACCGGAACGTCGCAAGGGACGCGCCAGGGGACGCGCCAGCGCGCCAGGGGACGCCCCACGGACAGGCAAGCGCTTCGCTCGAGACATCATCAACAAATCCTCATGTTAGACATCCGCCTGGACGACCTGGACACGTGATAACAAGCGTTTCTCTCGTCACGTTCCCCAAACCACCTCCCCAACCCGTGTCCTTTATCGATCGGGATTTCAAAGACCAGCGTTTCGCTCGGGACATCCTCGCAAATAAGTCCGCTGGCCCTTCCCGACCTTGATATTCATCAGGGAATGATTCCGCTGGCCCTTCCCCAACATGGCACTGGGGACAAGTTGACCGACTAGAAGAAAACCCTGGGCCGGCGCCCTTTCCCGGGAAAATGGCAGCAGCCGCATGCTTGGGACTGCAAGTCCACCCTTGGACCCGTTCCTATCCTTAGGCCCCCATCCCTCAGGAACCCATCTTCCCAGACCCCCCGGCGTCATGATTTTTTCATAACGTCGACTCTCAAGGGTCTTGACCCATTCCCCTGGACAAGTTTTTCATCGTGAGCCTTTTTTCGACGGTCCCGAGGCCTGGTGAGGGCCTCCAAAGGCCGAACATCTGGAGCATGATCGACCCACGAACCTGGAAAAGAATATAGGCAGAGAAGGCATGACAGCGCTTCAAAAACACCTGATTGGGCGACGGGCAAATGCAATGCTGAATAGATTGATCTTGATGTACCGTGCCGAGGGCTGTGCTGTGCTGTGCCGTGCTGAATTGCGATGTGCCATGCCGCGATTGTGCTCCATAGCGTTATGGATTGAGTCCTCATTTGCATCCGAGTCCTGACCGAACTTATCTGAATCTTAAGCTCGAGCTGCCTGAGCACATAGTAGCTGCCCCAGAGCTAATTGACACGGGGAAATGCCAGGAGGACGCGCCGCGGAACGTCCAAAGGGACGCGCCAGGCGACGTGCCAGGGGACGTGCCATGGGGACGCACCGCGGGACGTGCCAAGGGGATGCGCTACGGAACGTGACGATGGACGTGCCGCGGGACGTGCCAGGGATCTCGCCGCGCGACGTGCCAGGAAGACTCGCCACGGGACGTGCCACGGAACGTGCCAGGTTGCAATGCTGAGTGTATCGATCTTGATGTGTCGTGCCGAGGGCTGTGCTGTTGTGCGCCGTGCTGAATTGCGATGTGCCATGCCGCGATTGTGCTCCATAGCGTTGTGGATTGAGTCCTCATTTGCACCCGAGTCCTGACAGCACTGATCTGAATCTTAAGCTCGAGCTGCCTGAGCACATAGTAGCTGCCCCAGAGCTAATTGACAGAGAGAACTGCCAGGAGGACGCGCCGCGGAACGTTTAAAGGGACGCGCCAGGCGACGTGCCAGGGGACGTGCCATGGGGACGCACCGCGGGACGTGCCAAGGGGACGCGCTACGGAACGTGACGATGGACGTGCCGCGGGACGTGCCAGGGGACGCGTCGCGCAACGTGCCACGGGGACTCGCCATGGGATGCGCCACGGAACGTGCCAGGAAACGTGCCAAGTTGCAATGCTGAGTGTATCGATCTCGATGTACCGTGCCGATGGCTGTGCTGTGCCTGGGCAATCTGGACACGTGAAAACAAGCGTTTCGCTCAAGATATTCTCCACACATCCTCGTGCTAGACATCCGCCTAGGCAGCCTGGACACGTGAAACCAAGCGGCTCGCTCGAGACATCCTCAGCAAATCCTCATGCTAGACATCCGCCTGGGCAACCTGGACGCGTGAAACCAAGCGCCTCGCTCGAGACATCCTCAAGACCTGGGCAAGTGAAAACAAGCATTTCACTTGAGAGATTCTCTGAATTCTGGTCCTCAGGAGAGGACAATCTGGAACATAGAACACGGGTTTCGCTCGAGACATCCTCAACAAGTTCTGCAAAACAAGCGTTTCGCTCGGGACATCCTCCAATTGTAATTCGCCGGCTCTTTCGACCTCGGCATTTATCGCAAGAGAAATTCGCCGGCCCTCTCCGAACTTGGCACCGCGGAGCAGCTCCCCTACTAAAAGAATACCCTGGGCCTGAGACCTTTCCGGGAAACACCTCCCGCCATGACCCTGTTCCTCACCCGAGGGGGTCTGTGAGCTTAGGCCCCCCATCTTTGAGCCACCGATGCTCGTCGTGCAGGATCGCGTGCACGATCGGCGCGCCGGCGGAGCCCTCCGCGCCCGCCGGGGCGCGCGGCTGCAGCCAGAGCATCGGGTCCTCCGCGCCGTACGGCTGGATCTCGGGAAAGAGGCGGCGCTGGCTGTGCGGGGTGTAGGAGCCCGCGTCGCGCCAATGGGCCGCCGTAAGCAGGTGCGGGAAGGTGCAGCACTGGTGCTCGCACGGCGTGCCGGCAGGGTTCTCGCCGAGACGAGGCCATGGGCGAGGATGACGTCGTGTGAGGAAACGCTGGGGCTCTGAGATCGGGCGGCTCTATAGGGAGGCTGTCTCAGGATCCGCGGCCTTCTCGAGGCGTCTCAGACAGCTCTGAAGGCGTTCCGGAACGCCCTGGACAGGATTCATCCTCGTCCTGGCCCCGTCCGAGTTCTCGCACTTGCGCCAGATGCCGACCACCGAGCTGTCCGGGAGGATGGCGCGGCAGTGCCCAGGGCTAGCGCTGCAGGCGGCCCCGGCGTTTTTTTCACAACGTGAAGGGGCCTCGAGGAGGAGGAGGAGGAGGAGGAGGAGGAGGAGGAGGAGGAGGAGGAGGAGGAGGAGGAGGAGGAGGAGGAGGAGAGAGGAGGAGAGAGGAGGAGGAGGTCGTCTCCGTCTCCCGGGCTTCGGCGGCGCCCCCCGAGACCGTCCCTGGACTGCGCGGCGGAGCTCGGCGGCGCCCCCCGAGACCGCCCCGGACTAGGCTACGGACCTGTGGAGGCTACCTCCGGAGACACTGGACAGACAGACAGGCAGGCAGGCAGACAGACAGACGGACAGACGGACAGACGGACAGACAGGCAGGCAGACAGACAGACAGACAGACGGTCAGTCCATCAGTCAGCCTTGCAGGCACACACACGCACACACACACACACGGACAATCACGCATACACACGGGCAAACACAGACAACACAACACGACACGACACGACACGACACGACACGGCACGACACAACACAACACAACACAACACAACACAACACAACACAACACAACACACAACACACAGCACACAGCACACAGCACACAACACACAACACAACACACAACACACAACACACAACACACAACACACAACACACAACACAACACACACACACAAAATCACAAACAACACAAACAAACACAAACACAATCACAAACACAAACACACACACACACACACACAAAACACACACACACACACACACACGCACACACGCGCACACGCCCTCCACACACACACACCCGCGTTCAAACACAGACACACACACACAACACACAACACACAACACAACACACAACACACACACACGCACACACACAACACACACACACAACACACAACACACAACACACACACACGCAGCACACACGCAGCACACACGCAGCACACACGCACACACGCACACACAACACACAACACACAACACACAACACACAACACACAACACATTCACACACACACACACACACGCACACACACACATGGACACACACACGTGTTTTTGTCCGTCGGCTGCTAGGCAGAGTCACTGTGCTGGCGATGGGCGGGATGCACAGGACGCGACTTGTGCCGCCACGCACGGGTATGAAGAGAGGGAGACGCCCAGCGCGGGCAAGAGGGAGAGGAAGGCGAGCCCGCTCGGAGCGGGGCCCGGCGCCAGCGGGGGGGCGCCCGGGGGGCGGTGCCAGCAGAGCGAGGCGGCAGCGGGGGGGTATAGGCAGGCCAGGCGGCCGCCGGAGGCAAGCTCTCAGGAGGAGCAGGTGCAGCACAGGCTGATGGCGAACGCACTGCGGCATGGCGTCCGGGGGAGCCGAGGGCGCAAGCGGCCCGCGAGGCAGCCCAGGGGGGAAGGCGAGCGTGCGACCACCTCGGGGGGAGGGGTCGGCCTGAAAGCCAGGCAGGGCAGGAGAGGCGAGAAGGGCACGACGAGCGAGTGCCAGGCTGGGGAGGGCAGTGCCACACACAGACACACACACACACGGACATACACACACACGGACATACACACACAAACACACACACACATACTTGTTGCGTCGGCGGCTGGACAGAGGGTGACTGCTCCGGCGATCCGAAATACAAACACACACACACACACACACACGCGCACGCACACACACACGGACACACGGACACACGGACACACGGACACACGGACACACGGACACACGGACACACGGACACACGGACACACGGACACACGGACACACACACACACATGCGCACACACACAAACACACACACACACACACACACGCGCACACACGCGGACACACAAACACACACACACACACTGCGGCTAGGTGGTGTTAGGCTACCTCTATGGGGGCTGTCTGTGAACAATCCCAGGCCTTGCCGGGATGGCAACTGCGAGGTTGGTGTCGATGAGCACTGTCCGGTTGTTCCAGATCGACGTGTTGGCCCTCAGGACGAGCTGGGGCGCACTCCACGGCCCGTCGGGCGAGGGAGCGTGAACCATGTACGTGTGGCGGGGCGGCGGGCCATCTTGGCGAGACCATGTATTCGTCTCGGAGCAGTTGGCAAGCTGCTCCCCGTTGGGGTGGCGCAGGGTCAGGTAGATGACCCACGTGCCGTCGGGGGCGCGCACGGCGTTCGGCTCGTGGGCAAAGGGCTCAAGCACGGTCGAGCGGTACGTGTAAGGCCCGTCCGCCGCTGCTGCGGTGGCGTGGACGACTTGAGAGTTGGGCTCCCAGTGGTTAATGCCGCAGCCGTTGGCCATCTCGGCGGCGAACATGTGCCAAAGGCCATCAGACTCGTCGTACAGAATGGAGCCGCCCCACGAGGAGATGTGCTCGGGTGCCGCGTGCGGGGAGCGGAAGCCTCCATCCTTGCGCGCGGGCAGGAGGTTAAGCGTCTCGCAGCGTGGGCCGGTCCACTGTGGTGCGCAGACGCATGCCGATGAAGCGCCGCAGTGGCCGTTGTAAGAGCAATCCCGGGGCGACGCGCAGGCGACGGCCGCGTGCACCAGAGTGGCGAGGAGAAGGGCCAGTGCCATGCCGTCGACCTCGCTCACGCGAGCTCGTACCACATCTCGGCCCTGGAGCCTCATTGCCTTAGCGGAGGGGTACCGACTCAGGCGGGGGAACGGGGCAACATCGAGCTGGAATTGTCGCCGGGAGATCGGCGCTGGGCCCCCGACAGCAAAACTGCACGTTCCTGGGCGGCGTGGGCTATCAGACTCCCATGGGCGATGAATGGGCGACTGTGGCTCGATGCGTCCCCCTCTGAGGAGAAGCCACCCCAGCGTTGCCCCTGAGCTGTCCCCCTCCCCGAGGCACCAGGCACGACGGCGCCGCGCGGCTGGGCGCAGAGGCGGGAGCACGCCGCTTCGAGGCCCAGCGTCGCAGCGCTCGAGCCAGAGCGGCTACCTACGGACCGCCCTCGTGGCCCCTTGGCAGCTGCCTTCGGGCCTCTGGTGCGGCCCTCGGGGCCTGTCGCCTCGCCTGGGCCTCCTCCTCGGCCCCTTGCCTGCAGCCAGGCCACCCGCGCGGTGGACCGCTGCAGCGTTGTCTTGCGCTGCTCCGCGACCTGTACTGCCCCTCCGGGCGGGCATGCAAGGGGCCCAGGTGGCAACGGGCCATGGCCCCGTCGAGGGCTCCATAAGTCTGGGACCAACTGTACCCCGAGCCGCTTCTCCAACAGCCGCGGGGGCCTCGGAGGAGGACCCGAAACTTCCGACACCGCGCAAAGACTTCATGAACCGTTTCGCCCGGGACCACCTCAGCGCAAGGGGGACTCCAGGCAAGGGTGACCTGTAGTGAGCGGCTCGCGGAAGTCCTTCCGGCGAAGGGTCACCACTCCTAGAGAGGCCGCCCAGATGATGGCGTGAGCAGATGGGGTCGGAGGTTCGCGCCGCATCGCCGATGCTCCGTCGGTGCATCGGCGATGCGTCGGCGACGTCGACGTTGTATCGGCGACGCCGGCGGGGAGGAGTCCGCGCTCCACAGCGAGCCGCATCGCCGATGCACTGGCGATGCGGCGCGATCCTCCGACCCCATCGACTGGTAAACCATGTCCCAGACCCCCGAGGTCATGATTTGTGCATAGTTAACGTCAACGCTCCGAGGTCTCGACCCGTTCTCTGGGACCGGTGCCTCATCCTGCGTCGCTTTGCTGACGGCCCCGAGGCCCGCCAAAGGGCCTCGAGAGGCCAAACATAGGGAGAAGCCTCCCGTCCTGATTTTTGCCACCGCCCGAGGATAGGGGAACAACAAGTGAAATAAACATAACATGATCGACCCACGAACCCGGAAAGGAATATAGAAATGTAACGCATGGCAGCGTTTTCAAAGACACCTGATTGGGTGACGGGCAAGTGCAATGCTGAGTGTATCGATCTTTATGTACCCGGCCGAGGGCTGTGCTGTGTTGCGCTGTGCTCAATTGCGATGTGCCATGCCGCGATTGTGCTCTATAGCGTCGTGGATCGAGTCCTTCTTTGCATCCGAGTCCTGACCGAACTGATCTGGATCTTAAGCTCGAGCTGCCTGAACACATAGTAGCTGCCCCACAGCTAATTGACAGGGGGACCTGCCAGGAGGACGCGCCGCGAAACGTCCCAAGGGACGCGCCAGGCGACGTGCCAAGGGTGGTGCCACGGGGACGCACCGCGGGACGTGCCAAGGGGACGCGCTACGGAACGTGCCAATGGTTGTGCCACGGGATGTGCCAGGGGACGCGCCACGCGACGTGCCAGGGGGACTCGCCAAGGGACGCCCCACGGAACATGCCAAGGAACGTGCCAAGTTGTAATGCTGAGTGTATCGATCTTTATGTACCCTGCCGAGGGCTGTGCTGTGCTGCGCTGTGCTGAATTGCGATGTGCCATGCCGCGATTGTGCTCTATAGCGTCGTGGATCGAGTCCTCCTTTACATCCGAGTCCTGACCGAACTGATCTGGATCTTAAGCTCGAGCTGCCTGAACACATAGTAGCTGCCCCACAGCTAAATGACAGGGGGACCTGCCAGGAGGACGCGCCGCGGACCGTCTCAAGGGACGCGCCAAGCGACGTGCCAGGGGATGTGCCACGGGGTCGCACCGCGGGACGTGCCAAGGGGACGCGCTACGGAACGTGCTGGGGACAAGCGTTTCGCTCGAGACATCCTGTCAACATCCTCATGCTAGACATCCGCCTGAGCGACCTGGACACGTGAAAACAAGCGTTTCGCTCAACACATCCTCAACACATTCTCATGCCAAACATCCGCTGGGCGAACTGGACACGTGAAAACAAGTGGTTCGCTCGAGACATCCTCAACACATCTTCATGTGAGAAGTCCGCCTGGGTGACCTGGGCACGTGAAAACAAGCGTTTAGCTCGAGACGTTTTCAACACCTCCTCATTCTAGACATCCGCCTGGTCGACCTGTACACGTGAAAGCGAACGTCTCGCTCGAGACATCCTCAACACATCTTCATGTTCGACATCCGCCTGGGCGACCTGGACACGTGAAAACAAGCGTATTTCTCGAGACATTCTCAACACATCCTCATGCTAGGCATCCGCCTGGGCAACCTGGACACTTGCAAACAAGCATCTCGATCGAGACTTCCTCAACACATCCTCATGTTAGACATCCGCCTGGGCGACGAGGACGCGCGAAACCAAGCGTCTCGTTCGAGACATCCTCAACAAATCCTGGCGCTAGACCTCTGCCTGGGCAACCTGGAGGCGTGAAACCAAGCGTCTCGCTCGAGACATCCTCAAGACCTGGGCACGTGAAAACAAGCAGTTCACTTAAGAGATCCTCGAAATTCTAGTCCCCAGGAGAGGACAATCTATAACACAAAACAAGCGTTTCGATCGAGACGTCCTCAACAAGTTCTGAAAAACAAGCGTTTCGCTAGGGACGTCCTCAAATTTTAATTCGCCGGCCCTACGCGACCTCGTGATTTATCGCAAAAGAAAAACGCCGGCCCTACAGCCGTCAGATCCGGGGGCAAACCCCTAAAAGAGAACCCTGGGCCTATGCTCTTTCCGGGAAAAACTCGGAGGTCCGCGCGGACTTCTCGGATCGGCGCTGGGCCCCCCCGGCGGCGCCTCCGGCGCCGCCCCTGGCGCGCTCCGCGCGCCAGGGAGGGGGGTCCAGCGCCGATCCGTGAAATCCGCGCGGACCTCCGACTTTTTATGTTTATGTCACTTTTTGTTCCCCCAAAGGAGGTCTGGGGCGGGAGGCCCGGATCCTGCGCGTCGCCAGCGGGAGCCCCTCCCCGCTGACCCCCCCCTCCTCCTGCGGGCAGGCGCAAGCCCCGGGCGCCGCGCCCTGGCCCGGCAGCCCTCGCGGGGCCACCGCGGCCGCGGGCGCCTGCGGGCTGTCTGCGCCGCCAGCTGCGTCGTCGCCGTCGCAGGGGCAGTCGTCGTCGCCGCCATCGCCCTCGTCGTCGCCGACGACGGAGGCGTCGTCGTCGTCGCCGTCGCCGTCGTCGCTGTCGCCGTCGTCGTCGCCGTGGTCGCCGGTGTCGCCGGTGTCGCCGTTGTCGCCGTCGTTGTCGCCGTCTCCGAAGGAGGAACAGTTGGTGCCCTCCTTGGGGATCTCTGGGGACCGTCATGGGGCCCTGCCCTTTTTCCAACTGCAGGCCAACCGATCCGATCAGACAGGTGTCGCGCACGAAGACGTTCTATCGCGTCTCGTGCGGCTGCGCTCAGCACATGTTGACCTGGATTGTCGGACTCCGCTTCCTCTTGTCCTTCTTCGTGTGCATCTCGTACAGCAGATGCCCGAGGCCTGCGTCGTGAGGCTCCTGCACTTTGCCGTTCTGGGTACGTCGTTCGAGATCCTTGTCGCTCCACGTCGGCATCTCGAAGTCGATGCGCCAATCCGCTCGTATTCGCTTCGTCGTACGCCTGCCGTACTTGTTCAGCTCCTTCGTATTCCCCTCGGTGGGATACCGATCCACGTGGGCCGCAAAGTGCTGCGCAACCAGCTCGCCCAGCTCCACAACGTTGTCCAAGATGCACGTGGTCCAGAAGTTGTCCATGAGCTCGTCGTGCACCAGAGCGCCATTCGACCTCATGATCTTCCAGCATACTGCCCTCCTGGAAATCGGACATGATCCAGCGCCTCTCTGGCTCGTTGTGCAGCTGCCGCTCGCTGGTCGGCAGATTGGGGTCCAGGTTCTCCCTGAGAGCGGCCTTGAACTTCAGGTCGAAGCCCCGCCTCAGCGGGTCGCCCGAGTCCATGTCTGGGACCAGATAGTCGGCCCTCATCTTGGCGTACACCACGATCCGGTCGTGGCTCCGCTCCGGGTGGACCTCACGCCTGATCAGCATCTGCGCCACGAGCTTCGTGATGCAATGGGCCCCCACCCATTCTGCCATGCGGCGCCGCTCGACGTCGCTGGCCGCTGGCCACGATTGTCCGCCTCGTCGCGTTCGCGAGCCGGAGCGGCTGGGCCTTTCTTCCGGTCTCCATGAAGATCTTCTCGGCCTCCTCATCGCTGGCGCACTTCACTCTCCTCGTCGGGTGCCATCGCACGTGGCCGGTGTACTTCGCGAAATGCTTGCCCGTGCTGCCCATCTCGTCGTCGCGGTTCATCCTGAGGAGATTCGAGCTCTTTATCCCGCGCCTCGCCACGCCTGGCTCTCTGCCGCCCGCCTGCCGCCAGCAGGGCACGAACGCGCCCGCGGCGATCCAGCCACTGGCGAGGCCCCTGCATGCGAGCACGGCCAGCGAGCATGGCCGCCAGCGCCGCCCGCGGCCGCCGCCGGGCGCGTCGGGCGCTGGCGCCGGCGGGGCCGAAGTCTCCCGCGCGGCAGTGGCGCCCCGCTCGCCCGTGCCGTCGCTGGGCCGCATGGCGGCGCTCGCCGCCGCGAGCTGCTCGCGCCGCGGCGGGCGGCGGTCGGCGGGCTTGAGCCAAAACGGCTACAGATCCCAGGGCCCTGCCCTTGGCCGTTTCGGGGCCTCTCGGGAGCGTCGTGGATGGCTCTGGGGCCTTTGGCGGAGGCATCTTGCGGACATCCTGTGGCCCTCTTGATCCGTCCCTGCGGCTTCCTCTCCAGCGCGGCGACAAGGCGCGTCTGCAAAGCAGCAGTCTCACTCTCACTGGTGACGCTGCGTCGAGCTCCCCCTTCCGACGGAGCGCCACGGAGGCAGGGGGAGCCAGCCCGAGGCCATCCTGAGTGCCGCGCGCGCCCCGCGGGCTGGCGCACAGCACGGGGCTCCTCCTCCTCCTCCTCCTCCTCCTCCTCCTCCTCCTCCTCCTCCTCCTGTTCCCTCCTCTTTTTTTGGCAGCAACGCCGCGGCCTCTGTGCACAGTGCTTGCTCAACCAGTCCAGAGGCGCAACTGGCAGGCACTGAAACCTGTACCTTACAGCAGCGGGATGAATTCGTCGATGTCGACGAACACACCCTTCTTATCAGGGTGCAGGCCTCCACGGAGCTTACGCACGTTCTTCACGCAAGCCACCGTAGGAGGGGCGCACTTACGCCCAAGGCCTAACACAACTCCACCGCTGCTATAAAACTTGCACGTCATGCAAAGGAACAGGTGAGAATTATCAGCGCATGGGAACACGATCGCCCTATGCCCGAGACGCTCCACAACACACCTGTCGAGCCTGCTGCGGCCCGCACACTCCGAACCGCCACACGGCCAAGAAGAAGCTCTGGAGCCTCGCAAACACACACGGCACCTCCAAAAACTTCCTTGGCGTTCCCAATCGTGCTCAAGCGTGAGCCGAGATGAACTCGGTGGCTTTGGCGGCTGGACCCGCACTAAGCCACGGAACTCGACTTTGGGCCAGAGCGGGAGCAACGCTGCTCCGCCCATCAGCACGGCCCTCGCAATCTCTAGCGTGCGACTTAAATCATCAGCCTCCGTCGGCGTCATGGTCGGGTGGCGCCTAGCACCCTCCTTCGCCGCGACGTCGGCATACGCGTTACCCAACCTCCGAAAGCGCTCCTCCGCCGACAAACCCTCCTCCTCCACATCTTTGCGGGCCGCCACTTTGTGGAAGCCCTCGCAGAAGCGGCCAAATTTGTGGCGAGCTTGAATGACAAAGCCAGCATGCTGTCGGGCTGGGCCTATAGCCTCAGCGCCTCCAAGACTCTGCAGCAGCACCACGCTAGCACAATCTGAGTAGCACTGAGCTGGGCCCTCTGTATACAACGCCGTCCAGGCAAGGGCACCGAATTCAGCAGCCTGGGGGGTCTGGGGCCAAAGAGCCCAGAGGGGGCCTTTGATAACCCCTAGCAGCTCCCCAGACTCCGAGACCATGACAACAGACCACCCCGCCCTAGACAGCTCTCTAACCTGATGCCTAGTACAGGACCCATCCATGAAAATGTGCCCCCAGACGCCGTCCCTGGGAACGATGGAGGGGGGCGAGCCTGGCCTGGCAAGATCAGGGAGCAGGTCCGCATACCACTCCACCGTGACACCGTCGGGCGAGATAGCAGGCTTGGGGGCCCAATCCCCAGGATGTCTAAACGCTCCATGAAGCCACAGAACTCTAACCTCGGGGTCGTTCTCTGGCACCTCAAGCGCCGCTTGCTGGATCCACTTCGGCATGTGCTCGCCCCGCTCGGCCTGCGCGCACGGGCACACCCAGAGGCGGTGAAACAGGGTGTCCTTGGCGCCGCAGCCCAGCGGGCACAAGCTGGAGATGGGATAGCCTAGGTCAGCGGCGTCGCCTGCAGTCCAACAGGCATTGGTGGCAAGAGCACGGATCATACCCTTCTGAACCCCCGGAATTTTCTTGGAAGCGAGAAGCCTCTTCGGAACGTCCCAGCAGAGACGAAATCCAGCCCGAAACTTGTCCCCCGACTCCCGCTCGAGACTCCTAAAGGCCGCCTCCTTGCAAAAAAAGCTTCACCAGCTTGGGCGGCGACAGCGTAAGAGAAATCTCGCGACCGAAATCGTCAACGAGGGTGGTGAAATTGGGCATGGTCCACCCAAGCCTGTACAAGGACATTCTCAGCCCCGAGATGGGTCCCGAAACTTTGGCCCAGGTCCAGTCCTCCTTATCAAAAACAGAACTCCAACCAGCCCGAAGCTCAGCCCAACTCAAGGCCCACTCAAAGGCCCTCGTCTGACGCATCCACACCTCCTTGGCCCAGCGGATGATGGGGGCACAACTGGCCCTCCACGTGGGGTCCCCTTCTAAAAGACACAAAACCGAAAGGGACCTTCCCTGGGCAGAAGGTTTCACGCACGACATGGCCATGCGCCGAAGCGACAGCAGCTCACGGTCAGAGACCCCGTACACGTCCGACCCGTAGACCGCCCCCGCTAAGGGACCCGAAGCGAAGACCTTGACCACCTTGCGGCCCAGCGCGGGGCCCAACTTCCCGAGACGAAGAGCTTTCCTGAGAGCCGCAGTAGCCCACTGCTTGACTTTGGCACTCCTGTTCTTTCCAGGAGCTCTGACCGCTCTGCCCGCAGTGTAATCCACACCTAAGTTGGTCACGCGAGTGCAGACTGGATCGCCGACTAAGCCCCCGAGCTCGGCAAAGAGCGCAGCCGAAACGTGCTTGCTGCTGGAGACCATGCCAACCTTATCCATAGCCAGCTTGCACTTGAGCGTCGACGTGATCGCAGAGTGCAGAGCTCTGGCGCCTGAAACTAGATGCTTCAAAACAATGCTGGGCTTGCCATTCGCGCTGAGGCTTAAATCGTCAACGTACACATCAAAATCTGGTCCCCTCGGAATGGAGTCGAAAGCCTCCAAAGCAAACACCCTAATAAGGCTCGTCGCGAAGGTGCAACCCGCGACGGCCCCTTTTAGGGCGAAAAACGGGCCATCGACGATTCCCCCCAAGGTCATGAATCTCGCGCACGAGTAAGCGTGAATGGCAAGGCGCGCGATGTCTAGGGGAAACTGGTGCTGCTTGCACTTAGCCCAGAGAAAGTCGAGGTCGATATGTTCGTAGTACTTACGCAGGTCCCAAAAAATAGACGCACTAGTCTGACCTCTGGCCGCCCCCGACTCCGCTCTGAAGGCCTGCCTCCAGACAACGTCCCCCGCCCCACGATGGGCCCCCGCCGCCCAGTAAGGTCGGCTGTGCTGGAGCTCCCAACGGAGAGCTTCAAAGCGGCGGCATCTGCCCCAGACGCGATACCAACTCGAGAAGATCCCAATGGGTCGGAAACCCCCACACGCCTTGGCCAACAAAGCGACCAGCACCCAAGAGAGCTGGACAGGCAGGGACCCCGTGGCCTCCATGACCGAGAACCAAAGAGACATGGCCATCAGAGCCTCGTCCGAGAGCAGGCTGACATGACGGCAGTGGAAGCCGTCCAAGCTGACAGCAGAAGCGGGCCGATATTTCTTAGACATGGCCCTGATGATGTCGGGCTCGAGAGGGGGAGGGCATGACAATAAATCCTTACCGCGCAGGCCCTGGCCACCACCGTCCCCCCAGATGGAGACGAACTTGGCCGATTCAGCCTTGAGCAAGCTCATGGGATCTGACACCACGACGCCCGAGCGGGACAGAGTCGTGGTGGGGGCCCAGGCAGCTGGGTCCCGAATAGCCTTCTGCGCATTGCGCGACCCCTTCTCGAGCCCCTGACGCACCCATTCACTCCAAGCCTTCCGAGAAGACTTGGCCACGGATGCCTTAGCAGTAGCACGGGCTTCAGAAACAACGCCGATGTGCCGATCGAGGTCGGCGGCCAGCTCAGGATCATGCACCGAGCTAAGCATACTGCGCGCTAAGCCAGCGGCAGTGCGAAACAGAGGCGCATAGGCTGAGTTCTTCACCACAGCCACCGTCGTCGGCGGCTCCGCGAGCGCCGCCAGCACCTGACGGCCTCCCTCTAGAAGGCCCTCAGGGCCCAAGTAGCACCTGGAAGCACGAAGTTGACTGCTCAGCCAAAGCACCGACCTGAGGGCGGGGTCGGGCTCACGGCCGCCTTCCTTTAAGATGCCTTTCCAAAACATCTGCGGCCGCTTCGCTCTGGCCCCCTTGGGAACCTTCACCCCCAAGATAGCGCTGAGGTCACGCTCGGCCGCGTTAGCCCACGCACGGTACCCAGGGGCCAGCAAAGCGCGAGCACGATCACCACCACCCTCCTGCACAGCCCTATAAGCCTCACGCGCGAGCCCAAGCGGGACCTCCCACGACCCAGGCTCAGGCTGCGGGCCAACCGGCGGCACCACAGGAAGGTCCGGCGGTCTTCGAAAGGCGAGAGCCCTGAGATCACCGACAGACGCATGAAAGCGCAAAGACACAGGCCTGTGAGGGTGGATGGGCGAGTCCCCTTGCACATAGATCTGCTTGAGACCGAGGGAGAGGGCATGGGAAACAACGAAAAAATCAAAGCGCTCGGGGGGGCCAACGCTAGGGAAATGGGTATGCCCTTGGGAACTGACAATCACCCCATTGGTCTTAGCCTGGAAGCCCGAAGCCGCCAAGGTCTCGGGGGGGAAATTCCAGTCGGCCCCTATGATGAACTCACACTCAAGGCCCCCTATGAACTCCCCCACAGATTTTAGGATTGACAAGTTGGCCTCTGACAGACCTTCGCTGTGGCAGAGGTAGAGGGAGAGGACGCAGAAGGTGGCGCACCCTGGCACGTGCACCATGGCACACATCGCGCGGCCCTCGGCCAGCACGGTCCTGTCCTGGTGCTCAAACATGCCGAGCGCGTCACGCACGAAGATGCCGACCCCAGAGGAGGTGCCCCCACCTTCGCCAACAATACCTGGGGCCCAGAGCGACTTCCATCCCAGATACTTGGCCCCTTTCGAGGCCGTGGCAATATCGTCGTCCCCAC